TCTCTTTTTCTCCCCATCCTCTCCATTGCCCCATATTCTCTTGAGTCTTCAATGTTCTCCCAGTGTAAGAGGAAACATTTTTAAAAATCATTGAGTGTCGCAGAATGTAACAGTGCTTCCCACCACATTGTGACACATTTCTGTGACACAGTGTCATATAATTGTGTGTTATGTTTTCCCTTGTTGCTGAGAAAGAGCAGGTGGTTCTCTTCTTTTTGCTGATTGTTGACAGACATCTCTTGAACGTACTGAATTTTTTCTTGGAATTTCAAAAATTAAAGTAATTTCCCTGGTTAACCTCCTTAGAATTAAATCCAGAAGATTAAGGAGAGGTACAGAAATGTTGAGTGCCTGGGTGCCTTGCCTCTGTTGCAGAACCCGCAGCTCTAATTTAGACACTTAGGCTTCTTGAATAAAGTATGGAATGAGTTATGTATCTGATTACAGCAGTTACAAAGACATTATCTGTAGTGTGTATAGTCTAAACCAGGCAACCAAAAACAGACGGACAAGTGCATATTGGAATCTTAAACACCTACTGCTTGGTAGGTCAAGCTCTGTCTTGCAAAGATGAGTGTGGAAATCCTTTCTTTAAAAGCATGTCACAATTTAATCCATTCTTTCAAAATCATGCTAGTAGCATGGGTGCCTCCTTTTGATCTAAAATGTCGAGTTAGAATACAGGTCTTTGCTGTAGAGTATCAAATTCCTTTTTCTTCTTGACTGTGTTAAAATGCACATCTCTGACTTGCTTTGGAATGGTAAGATGATAAACATTTAAGTTAATTGGAAGTACTGCTGTTCAGGTCTTTATGTTCTTAAGTGTTTACCAATTAGAACAAGAAGCTATGCTCTCTTTAGTGTTTTCTGTCAGGTCTACCGAATCTTTAAATGTTTCATGCAAAATGGAAAAGCTTCAGCAGGGAGAAACAAAACAAAAAGAGCAGCCAGGTTCCCAAACCCACCAGTATAGCAATAGATACGTTGCATTATCCTAGGACTGCAACAACAGGACTGCTTTGTGAACCAGACAGAAGGAACTCCTGTATCATTGGCTGTAGTCGTACTGTACATTGGTAACTCATCTAACCAATCTGCCAAGGTGTGGGACACATGAGTTTGAATCCCATTGGGTGGAAGCGAAGTCTGAATCATGTTCTGCTACTTACAGACGTAAATATTGTGCTGCTGGATGATGTCCCTGCATAGAGGCCAGTTAACAAACTTTAAGTTGCCCCACGGAAGTAATTCAAGCAGAGGAACACCTGGTAAGAGGTTATGTTTGCACCTTGCCTTTTTAGGGTTTAGGTTTGAGTTGGGCCTGAAAAGGACTGACTCTGTCAAGAGAAAAGTAAATTGGGCATAACAAGCAAGAGACTTACTAGAGAACTGTGCTCACAAAAATATCTTTGTGATTTGCAGGTGTAGTTATAATTTGCAGTAAGGCTTAAAGACCAGTTTTCATTGCCTGGAAAAAACCAGAGAATCGTCAAGGTCTGAAATAAGAGCAATAATAAGCAAATAAGCTTCAAGCAAAGTACAATTTCAGCATAATTGCTTTTACTTTAATTGTATTACCTTTACTGAACTATTTAAGAAAAGCCTGGTTGGTACTTGTTCAGCAGAGTGTGATGTAATGAAGATCAGTGGTATTAAAAGTTTTTTACTTGTTTGTTTCTAGATAAGATGAGTTCAACAGTACTTTTTCAAGTTTGATTGAGGTCTCAAGTCAGGTCCTAGAGATAGGATTAAGCATCAGTGGCTAGTATGGCATGAACTTGGAAAATATTTTGCCTTTCTGGGATAGTCATGGATTCAAAAGTGAAGCCTAAGAAGTGGCTGAGGAGCTGCTAAGACTTGCCTGCTCCTTCAGAGGGCAAAGAATGTATTCTTTGCAACTATATAGAAGACAAGCTACGTTAACTGAAAAAGTCGTTCATTTATGATGCCAACTATTTAAGTGTATTGTTCCATTATTCTGAATATAGTAATTTTGGAAAGCAGAGAAAAAGACCTCATTTTGCATACATCTTGTGTGTTGGAAAGGAGTGGGTGTCAAAAGCATAGAACAATTTTCCATGGAATATTTTGCAGTTACCTTGCACATAGTGAAGTTTGTTCCCAGCTGAGCAGTTCAGAGAACAGTGATAGTAATTCATAAGCTCAGTGCTAACCCTTTCTTTCACCCCCCACTCTTCGTTTTTCCTGGGAAACTGAATTTAAGGGAGTTTCTGACCATTTATATCGGTGTTCCAAACTCTCTTGTCCTTACTTAACAGACTGATGTAAATACTGTTACTCACTGGTATTTTTTTTTCTCATCCTGTTTCTGAATCATATAATAGATTTCAGTCCTTTGACCCAAAAGTTTCGTGGAGGCTTTTCCATCTTTTGAGGAGACAGTTTCTGTGTGTCTGAGGCACAGTTTGCCTCTGTAACCTGTAATGAGATTTCACAGCAGATCAAATGGTAAAAATGCAGGAGTTTGGTTGTGGTGATTTAGTCCATTGATGTTTATAAATAACCCAAGTTTGATTCTGAGACAACACTGAGTAGAGGAAGTAATTTCATTTGGTAGATGATGCGGTTGTTCAGAAGCAGCTCTTTTCTCGCCTGGGAGAAAGGAAGTGCTGAAGAGGCAGTATGTGGAGAGGCAGGTGGAAGCATGTGGGAATGTGTCTGTTAGCTGGAGGAACAACACACAGCTGGGCTGGGGATAAGTAGGGCTTCTCAAATACAAATGGAAATAACTCGTATGTGGAATTATAGAGTTATATCTAGTGGGGGTTATTGTTTAACAAAATTTAAGGATATTCTCTTACTACTGCTGTTGTAGTCCTACTGACTTCATTGGTGTTGGATAGGTACAGATGAGGCAATCCTTTTCATGGGTGCAGTAGGTTTTCTTCATATTGACTCCCTTGAGAGATTTCTTTTCTTCTCTTACACTGCTAAATGCTGACTTAAAAATAAATCTGAGTATCCACCAATATATAAACACAATGTACCTTTTAGAGCAGAGTGATTAATTATCTCCTCCCATAATATACCTGTGCTGTGGTATCACACAGGTTCTGTAAACTAAATTGTAGTTTGAGATTAACAGAATTACTAACTGCCAAATATTGTGTTATTGAAATAGAAGAAAAGGCAATTACAGCATCTTAAATCAGTCGTGAAGCTATGCATTTAAGTTGATTTCAGTTTATGCTGATACCAGAAAGGGATGGTTCCATGCCCCTTGACTGCATGTTCCCACCCCTACTTTGCACCAGGGTCAGCGTTGGTGTAGTCACACTGTCGACTGGATCAAAGATCTGGCTGGAAAGACATTTTATTTGGTTTTGATGGAGCTGGTTTTCAGGCAGGTGTGGACTTAGTTGAGCTGATTGTGAAACAGCACCTTTAGTTTTGAAAGGCTCTTCTTAGGCCAGAATACAAAAAGAAGGGGAAATACTCAGCCTAAAGTACTGACCTGTGTGAAGAAAATGGGGTTGGACTGCCTTTATACAGCATTCTGTACAACCAAGCTAACTGTTCATGTTTCAAAAACATTAACAGTTCTGCATCTTCTGTCTGCGTTTGTAGAATCACACGACAGGTAGGTTGGAAGAGCCCTCTGGAAGTTAGCTGGTCCAACCCCCCTGCTGAAGTGGGGCCACCTAAAGTCAGTTGCCCAGGACCATTTCCAGACAGCTTTTGAATATCTCCAAGGAATTTTACATAACGTTTGTGATAAATATATTCTTGAAGTAATACTTCAACCCACATCTTTTTAAATCTCCTCTTTTGAGAAATACTTGAGTGAAATGAAGTACTTGGATTTATGTCAAACATAGTAATTTGGCACCATCTTTACATTATAGGCCTTAAGTGTGTGTCTCCTGCATCAGGCTCGATAATAGATTATAACTCGTATTAAGTAACTAGGACTTTAGTCCAAGTGAATACTGGAAGAAGCTATACTGCACACACTTGATTTTTTCTCATATAAAGGTAGACCCCAGGGATCAGTCCATCTGACTTGTTCACATTCAGACTAAATTGTAAGCATGTCTGCCACTCTTAAGGGTGTAGAAATGTATCAGTTGATGCATCTCATCCCTGGTAATCAGATCTTTGTTCAGTGTGTTAATTCTTCGTTATTCACCTAATACTTCTGTCTTTCTGAGAAGAAAAAAAAAGTTTATCTAAATATGAAGTGAGGACTTCTTTCTAGGCAAGCTTCTGCTAAATTATTCCACTATATTAACCCACTGTATCTGTGGTCATTGAGACAGGATTAATTCTCTTGCACAACCTCAAATTACTGCTAATTGTTTGATTGACTTCACATTTCTCTTTGTAGGGTGGCAATTTCTGTTCTGTAGTAAAATCCTCACACATAAAATTATGTGATATGACCCTTCTCCCCAGTCAGCATATATCCATTTTTCTATAGTTGTAGTTCTTCCTGACATACTGAAGTTCCTTCTGTAAGTTAACTGGGAAATCTGTGCTAAGTGTAGTGCTAGTACTGAATACCTTGGGAGTCTTCATGGCTGATTGCATTTTATTAGCTTGTATATAAATTCTAATAGTCATATGTCCCTCTGCTTTATCAAGACAGTAATTCTAGTCAAGGACTTATAATGCAGAGTTCTCCTATATGGTAGGGAAACATTTGGAAAAAGAAATATTTTAAGCTCTCCACTTACCAACAAATGCCTACTGATGTCTTCCCATTTGAAACAGTGACTCACTCAAGTTGGTGGAAGTGGGAGAATCACCCAAGTAAGAGGTTTCTAGTTGAAAACAACCACTGCCAGGCACAGAAGGACTTGACGTTTCTGTACTGTAATCCAGTTCCACCTCAATTCTGCCTTCAAAAAACAACGTTGGTGTGTCAGTGTTGAGATTTCCTCGGGGTTGGTTGTTCAGGAGGAATGCTGTGGCTCATACAGTTGTCTTTATTTCTCCAGTGGAGGGAATCCTCTGATTTTATTTATTTATTCTTTTAGCATATGCAGATGACTATCCAGGCTCTCCAAGATGAGCTTCGCATCCAGCGAGACCTGAACCAGTTGTTCCAGCAGGACAGCAGCACTAGAACCAGTGAGCCCTTTGTGGCAGAGCTGACAGAGGAAAACTTCCAGCGACTCCATGCAGAGCACGAACGCCAGGCCAAGGAACTTTTCCTGCTACGTAAAACCTTAGAAGAGATGGAACTGCGTATTGAGACGCAAAAACAGACCTTAAATGCGCGTGATGAGTCCATCAAAAAGCTGCTGGAGATGCTGCAGAGTAAAGGCCTGTCAGCAAAAGCCACTGAGGAAGACCACGAGCGAACAAGACGGTTGGCTGAGGCAGAGATGCACGTGCACCACTTGGAGAGCCTTCTTGAACAGAAGGAAAAAGAAAACAACATGCTGAGAGAGGTAAGTGACCAAATGCTGCGTTCATCTCCAATCTTAAGCTCTTCTCTGTCTCCTCTCTATTTCACAGCTGTAAGGAAAGAATCTTCCATCTTCTCTATCAGCTGTATTTTACATTGCAGACTTGCCAGAATGTGTCCCTGTTTTAAAACTTCCTTATGGCTGCCTGTGCATTAGGCCCCACTTTTCCCATAGTCTCCGTTTGAAGCTCTGGAGGTGAATTGTTACCCAGACTGTAAAATCCATTCTGCCATTGTGTTTAGTTTGCAAGAAAGTAGCTACCTGTATTAGAAGAAAGCTGAGAGAAATCTTTGCAGGAGTAATGGATGATTGCTCTACGGTTTCCATGGAAACAGTCTTCTTGCTGTGAAGGGTATTTGATAAAACTATTAGCTGCCCTGGATGCACAGGCAAAAAAAAAGATTACTTAAAGGGACACTACTGCACGCATAGTAACTCCTTCCACCCACCCTTCTGAAGATGGAAGAGTAAAAAAAAATTGGTTTACACCTTAACGAACAGTGGCAGGCATTCTTCACTATTAATGGTCCTAAACTAATTGTAATAAAATATAGGCTACATAAAATGTAAGTATCTTAGAAAAATAAAGGAAAGTAAATATATTCTTGTGTAGCCAGTGTCATTAAATTTCTTTATATTGTAAAATGCATTTTCCTCTTGTCAGTCAGCCCCCTAAACTATTCTAATATTAGCTTCTAACAGGCTAATAATTCAGCGTGTGTTGTGTATGTACACAGGTATGCATGTACATGCAGGTACTCACTAGCGATAAGATTTTCCGTAAAGATTATTTTACATATATCTGTATATCATATATGTGTTCTACATCTATCTGTAGATTGAATGCATGAATTGATGGCTGTGCATGTATGTGTAATACGTGTGTGTGAATCTAATGACCTGTTTTGGGCATTGTATGTCTACTTTGTGGTTCAGCATTTTTTTGAAAGCCTGATGCATACACAAGATTTAAGCCACCCCCCCTCTAAGAAAGTCTGGCACAAAGTTTTTTGATATGAGTGTGCGTAGCAAATAAATACTTCTTAATACCTCTTACTCATATGTTACTCATATGGCCTGACCCATTGGTACTTTTGCTCTTGCAAGCATTTATATAAGAAAGCTAGAGCTCATTACATTTCTGAGCCAGATTTAGGCCAGATTTATTTTTTTAGAGCAGTAATCTCTTGAGTGTCTAGAGTGAAGATAATATGATTCCAGAGTTTCTACACTACAGTTTTTCCTTTATTTAGCAACCAATGATCATTCTGTTCCAACTCTTGTATCTATTTCAGGAAGAGCCCCAAATGGCTTCCATTTGTTTCTGCTCTAAGTCCAGCAACATAAATGAAAAGCTGGCAGGAGCTGTGTAGTTGGAATGCAGTTACTTTTGTTTCTGCTACTGATGAGTAGATGTTGAGAGATAAGAATTCTTGTGTCATTCACACATATCTGGAAATCATCTATCATTTTAATCCTAGCCTTTATGGTAAAAGATTTCCTGGAGAAGGGGGAGACGACTCACTGACTTTCAAAGTGCAAATGCTGTTTATCTAACGTTTTAAAATTAATTACTCCCTGCTGTTCACCCAGCTCTAATGCATTGAGAAGGGTAAGCTGGATATATTGTAATTTGTAGCTCAAGCTGTTGATACAGTGTGGGTTCCAGCCTTGAAGCTGAGCACCCTACTAGCCTTGGAAACATAGTGCCATGTGCAGAGATGCCAAATTATCTCCTTATGGAAATGGGTCACATCAAGATGGGTTTTGTTAGCACCTGTGTGCTGTCCTTGAGCTCTGAGCTAGACTGACCTAACTGAACTCAGGCTTGTCTGCATGAAACTCAGGTCTCATGCCTGGAGAAAACCAGGGGATGGTGATGAACTGTAGCTGACCATATCTGACGCCCTGCGCACCGGTTGCTGTGCTCTGCAGGGTCTGGTTCAGAGTTGCTATCACTGTTCCACACTTGGAATTTGTCTCTGTGCAGAACCTCTTAGGTGTGTTTGCATGACCCTCTTCAGCTAATCTTCCGTTATGTGTCTGTCTGTATTTCCATAGTTTGACATGATTTTAGTCCTTTGCTACCCCAGATACTAACTATGGCATTTTTGAGCTGCCTTGAAGAAATCTTTCTACTTTCTTGATGGTTCTGTATCTAGAATTCCCAGTATTTTGAAAGGCATGCTAAACTCTTCTTTAAATACTACTGTTAAAGGAAGCATTAGTGTCTCAAAGGAGTTTGCATGTGCTTGGAAGGTCAGCATTTTTACATCATGTTCTAACACATTAGAAAAGCTGAGAAAAACTTTGAAAGCTGTTTTGACTATCCTATCTTAAGCAAGTTCTGAGATGTCAGAATCTACTAGTACTCTGACTTTACAAGTGTCTTAGACTTCTAGTAAAAAATTTGCTGTGAATAATAATAAAGATCTGCATCTTGAAACAAAAAGGTATCCCTCCATTTTTCAACTTTAAAGTCTACATATAGTTTGAAGTGTGATGTTCAGACTCGAGGTCATCAGATGGATTCTCAGACAGAAGTGTAGGTGCAGTGGCCAGCAGTCTGACCTTGAAAATTGAATGTGAATTCATTGATTTCTTTCAGCTGTCACTACTACTGTTACTGTACTAAAGATCACATTCATTTCCTAAGGAAAGGAAATTTTTGAGATCAGACTTGTGGTTCTGGTAAGATCATAACCAAGGAATAGCTGTACTGGTTCAGACCAACAATCCCTTTAGTCCAGCGTTCTGGAGTAATGGCCGTATGCAGACACCCAGGAAATGGTATGAACATGGCAAACATGATACTTCTCTGTATTGCTGTCCTATTTTCCAGCTATTTACAGCTGAGGGTTTTCTTGAACTCTCTGTGACTTGTCAGTTTAGTATCCTCCGTGGATCTGCCATCCAATTACACAGTCAGAGCCCATGTAAACTTTTGCAGCTGTAGCATCATTTTGTAAGTGGTTCTACAGGCCTCTCAATTGCAGGAAGAACCTGCCTTATTTGTTTTTGGATTTGAACCTGTCCCCCAGTAGCTGCATTGGCAGCCTCTTGCTCTTGCACTGGAAGAAACAGTTGAACTGGTGACTGCTATTGAGACTCTGTGCCACTCACAATTTTAGGTCATCTCCCTTCCAAGTTCTCTCTTTTTCCAGGTTGAAAAGTCCAATTCTACTTAAGTGTTCCTCATATGGAAGATACTGCATATATTTGATCATCTCCTAGAGCAGTGTGTCAGTCTCCCATATCCAGGTTATGAAATGATTTCTCCTGCAGATAGTGGGAGGTATCTCTATAAGTAATTGGACTCCCTTGGGTTTTTCCCAAATGTCCTGAATTCCAGGGGATTCAAGCAGTCTTTCCATACAAGTCCATAGGAGAGATCCTTAGTCCATCATAGGACGTATTTGGCAACTCACTGATACAGAGGACAGTCTCTTAGTAACACAAAATAATGAAAAATTAAATGTCTCATTGAACATCTGAACGCAGACATAGATCTGGATGCCCTGACGTCAGCAGATGACAGTGTGGCTGCATCACATTCCTCTACCCTAGAAAACAAGCTTTAACTTCATAGCTTATAAAAAGATGGATGCTATTTTGAACACCCCTTCTTAGGCCTTAGTGAAAATTATTCATATTATTGTTGGTATTCTAGACTTAACTTTCAGAAACAACATTATTATCATACCAGCAAGAAATACTTGATGAAATCCAGCAGCTGGACAACAGCTTCCAGAATAGCTCCCAAGTTACGTTAGCTGCCACCTTATTGTTCCAGACTCACCTGCTGCAGAATTATCAGTGATGGCGGTGACAGCACACAGCTCTAAAGATAACGAAGCCTGCTGTGCTCTTTTGACAACCTCCCTGCTCACCACCCCTAAAATGCTAGATATGCTGAGTAGAAGTATGTTTTTCTCAGCTACACGGAGTACTAGATACACCAAATATCAGTGCAACTTATGACATGGATACATCACTTCGTATGTGTATGATGTATCCACTTTGGTGTTGTAGACACTTGGAATACTTTGGGCAAACTATGATTTGTAGGAATAATTCCACATCGTTACACCAACTCGGTTTAACCTTTCCCTTTTGAATTGTTCATTACTATCTGTCTTTACGAATATATAGCTGAAGAAAGAACGAAAATCATAGACCTCGAGCATCACAGTCAATAAAGAGGTAGCTTCTTGAGAGTTCTTGGAGAAAAAAAGTTTAGGCCAAGTTTCTCACCTGTCTAGAAGAAAAGATGAAAATGAAACTATCTGTATTGGTTCTACCCAGGGAGGACAAAAAGATGCTGCTAATTGTCTATTATTGTCAGACATTTGCCAAACAACTTTGTCCCATTTTCTTACTCCATCATAAGGGATATCAGCACAGACTTTACAACAGTAGTTAGGCTGATGTCCTGTTTGTGTCTGGGTTGCTACTGGACATACATACTCTGCAAGCCCAATACATCTTTGTCCACAGCAGTGCTATGGCATATACTAAATGCAGTCTCCAGGATATACTGACACATCACTGCATCTCTCCTGCTCAGGTGGAGATACCCTTTGATGTCTTAAATTGTAAGAACTAAGGACAATGTATGATGGGAAGTTCCCAAATGTGTTCTCTTCTTTTCATTGGTCACTCTGCTTATTGGTGTCTACCTGATGCACCTATGAAGCTGACAATCTCATCATCCCCTGTATAACATATATTCAGAGTCCTGGTAATATACCTGGCCCTAACCATTGGCTTTTAATTAAAAGATGCAATAGAAATCATGCACAGTGCTAGTTCTTCTTCCTTCATAACAGTTTTACCATGTGTTTATAATGATGTGTAAGTCCTGCAGGTGACTTGTGTTGGGCTGTATGTGGGTGTTGTCAATATCTTCAAGAGGTCAAAAGCAAGTCTCCCTTTAACTTAAACTGTGAATGTGTAGCTATAGCATTCTCCTTGAAAAGGGA